TTTTAGCGTTGTTTTTTTTTTTTTTTAAATAATTATTTTTTATTCATTCAAAACAGAGTTACTTTGACTAGATGATAAATTCAATGATTCAAAATATAAGACATAAAAAAACGTATAGGAAAAAGTCCCTCTTCCACTCTTATCTCTCAGCCAGCCAATTCTCTCCCCATTGGCAACATAATTGTTTCTCTTTCAGGAGATATTTTAGTACAAATACATGCATACTTATTTCTCTTTTTGAAGATATGGTTGCACACTATATACACTAGTCTAATCTTTTATTTATTTAACTCTGTATCCCAGTTCTTCTTTTTGCTGCTGTATAGTTAGTATTCCCCTGTACCATCACTTACTGAGTGTCTACTAAGGATATTAAAGTTGTTTCTAGGTTTATTACAAACAGTGCCATACCAAAAATTTCTGTACATGTTATTCTGCATAAACGTGAAGACATCTCTAAGAAGTTCTTAGAGGAAGAATTGACAACTTTACCTCCGTAAGGATTTTTAGTGTACTATTCACATCAAGCAATGTATATCAATGCCTATTTCCCCATACTCTTGCCAAGATTTAAAAAAAAAAAAAACACCACTTATACACACAAAATAAGAAAACAAAATAGGATAGCAACAACAAAAACAACTTTTTACCTTTGCAAAAATTAAGGGTGGAAAAATTTAAGTATTAGCACAGATTATACTTTGCATCTTTTCACATATTTAAGAGCCATTTATATTTCCTTTCTTCAGAATGAGTTTCTAATTTTCCTATTGAGTTGCTAGTCTTAACAAATTGGCACTTACATAAAGAAAATTAGCTCTTTGTGATGAATTGTAACAATTTCTTCCCCAGTTTGCCATGTCCTCCAATTTTCCTTTATGGTAGTTTTTGTTATGCAAAGCTCCTAGCTTTTATGTAGCCAAGTTTTATTTATTTAAAATTGTGCCAAAATATACATAATAGTCCATTTCTATTTTTAGTAATCATTTTAATTTTCAGATTCTCAACTTCTGCATAGCTTTAGTATTCCTTAGGAAATTAAACATTCTCAAAATTGAGAGGAAAAAGTACATTTTAATGACTGACACAAAAACATGTATTAGTTTCTAACAAAAGACATACAAGGTAGGAATAACAGAATGACAAATGGAGAAAATTTATCTTAAAAGTAACTTTAGGAAGATTTCTTCACAGACATGTGGTTAAATACATAAATCCTAAATGTAGCATGTCATGGGCTATATTCCTCCTTTGTGGCCAAGGATTATTCCAGAAGATTTAATTAGGTAACCTTTTTTTTTTTTTTTTTTTTTTTTAGTTTTTTTATATAAGGCGCATGCACTTGCCAGAGGGAGAGAGAGAAAGAGAGAGAAAGGAAAAGTGTGAAATCTCCCCCTGGGGCGGGGGAGGGCCACACCACAATCCCCGAGAGAAAGGAAAAGTGTGAAATCTCTTCCTGGGGCGGGGGAGGGCCACACCACAATCCCTTCTCCTCTCTTCTCTTCTTGGGCTTTTGTGCATATACACACACATGTGCCCACTGTGATTTTCAAGCTGCTGGATCAGCCATGTAGAATCCAGCTGCCTTAACACAGGCTTACCTCAAATGGGTAACATTTTAGTTTGAGGCATTCCAACATCTACCCTAAAACACAAAGTGAAATTGCTCTTAGAAGAACACTGGTTTGATGAGAAGATAGATTTTAGGCTGAGACAAATCGGGTTACTTTTTTGTATTTCTTTCCACCATAATCATAACTCATGGAAAATCACTTTTTTTTTTGAGAAAGGACAAGCGAAATTTTAAATTAGGACCAGAAGTCTACCTGTAATTATCCAATTGATATTGACTTAGATCCCATCAGGTATACCAAGATTAACAGAATTTCAATTTGAAGTTTTTAATGGTATAAATATACTCACCAATTTACACTAGAATTAACTTTAGGATATTTTATCTTATTTTTAAGTTACAAGGATGGATGACTAGACATGAGTAGATACGCTGTTAAAAGTGTTATCAGTTTGCCAAAAGTTGTTTATATTTAAACGAAAGACCAATAGTTATGTCATATTTCACAAAATTAAATCACTGCTTTCTGATTTAACATCCAAGACTAAGACAGGACAAAACTCAAGTATCATTGCTATTTCTGCCCATGAACACATATAAGTCATTATCAATACAAAAGATAGTATAAGGAAATAAACACATGGTTATGTTTCAGGTTCCGCAATGTAAGATACCGTGATGTAACTCTCCTATAGTAAATGCTGATTTTTTTTTCTTTTTCCTGGAACAGCAAGTTAACAGATACGTGAATCTCAAAAAATTCAGGTAGTTTAGTAACTAATTTTGGTTTTTGACACCAACATGATGGTGTAAAAGCTGTAAAACCCCAGTGTTTTGTGTGTCACATCACAAAGAATGGACGAAGGAAAGGCCCTGCCAAGCCGGGCGTGCTACCCCAAATGTACCATTTCTGATTACCCATTCAGTTCCAAGGCTACCAAACTGTCGATTCTCCCCACTTAGCTTCATTCCAACTCTTAACTCATTTTACATAGAAAGTCTAGTTTCCTTTCTGTCAACTAATTTCCAGTTGTTTTAAAAACTTCTGATTTTCCTGATTTAACATTGTTCATAACTTCATTTTAAATAAAAGGAAATGCTTAAATCTTAATACTTTAAACCCTGCATGGGTTCCTTAACTAGCTGGCATAGTATGGATCTCATTCTGATAGTACTAGTGACAAAAAGGGGAGCAAAAGCCGTAAAACATGCTGCTTTGGGGAAAGGGAGTGGCACTTAAAGTTTCTTAGTATTTGGCCAAAGCATTTTTATATCCATAAGGACTCTCAAACCTAGGACAGCAGTTCTTAATGATGGAAAGGATAGGGATCCTTGCTTATCACTGAGTTTTGTAGAAACACATTATATATTCTTCCCTTATAATCACACAGTCCTTTAAAGACAATGGTTGTGCCCACAGAGCAGAATTAATGACAAATCTATAAAGATTCTATGATGATAGAAAACAGAACTTCTTTACAATCAAGATCTACTAGATCACCAAAAAAAAAACCTCCCTTTACTCATGCATTACTTTGTATATCTCTGAAACATTTGAAAAATACTTTTCTGTGAATTACTAGGTTGTAGGGAATGCGCATTTTTAGATACATTACAATTATCTCTAGCAGAATGTGGTGTCTTTCTTCCATTAACTGAACGCTTCACCTGGGTCTTAGAAGCAGGTTTCCAATTTTCATCTCTTGAGCCTCTCCGAGGTTTTGAATGCTCACTATCAGTTTGCCTTTTGAAGTTCCTATCTCTGGAGTTCTTCCTCTGTCCATTTAGTGTTTTGTCTACAGGTGAGGGTGTAGCACGTAACTGATACTCATCTGGGGACCCTTTCTGCCGGTTTGGCATCATTTGTTCTTTATTTACTTCCTTCTGAAGTTGTAATGCCAATATCCTATCCTGTTCTTCTTGTTTATGTCTCTCAAAAAGTAGATGCTCCAAATCTATCAGTTTTTGGGTAAAGCTTATATCTGTGTCCTCTTCATCTGAGGAAGATTTGGGGGACATTTTCCTTCTTTTTACAGAAAAGCATGGATCTTTGCTTGCTTCAAATGAAGGTCCATGGTTTTTTCTTTTGGAAATATCTTCACTGATCAGTAGGCAAGACTCTTCATTTTCTGTCTCGACTGCGTTGTTTCCAGTTATTGGTGTCATACCTGATACAGTGCACCCACTCTCTGTTTTGTCACAAGGCGTAACTGCAGCTTCTCTAGAGTAGGCAACGCTGGTTTTAGGCTCCTCATGATTTATGGCACATAACTCTTCATCATGATTGTTTGGTCTTGTTTCGACTTTTCCTTCAAGGCACCTTTCTGCACCATCTGCACATAACCATGGCATGGGTGACTCTATCGAAGACTTTGCATCTTGCTCTTGAATTTCAAGGCATACTTGAGGAGACAGTATTGGCATATCTTCTTCACTTTCTATGTCTTGCCATGTAAGACTCTTCAGATCATTACCCTCAATTTCCTGTAAGAAACAGAAAAAGGTTAAATGAAGATTAAAACATCCAATCATAATAGGTATCAAGGTCTGATTACACACATAACCACAGCGGAATGGTCATTATATATGACTCATTATTGTTATATTAATTCTTTATTAACTCAAGGTATATTAATTTTCTTAATAGTGTCCCAATTCATATTGGGACTGTAAACTGGCATTGTAAAGTGACTCTCTCTAATCAAAAATCTGAAAAGTACCAAAATCTGAAACTCCTTGAGCACTGACATGATGTCACAAGTGAAAAATTCCACACCCAACCTCACAGGGTCATAGTCAAAAGGCTGCAATACAAAACATTGTTTAAATTCGGGGTGGCATAGTGGTTAAGGTGCTAGACTCCCACATGACAAACTGTGGTTCAAGTTCCAGACCTGGTGGTTGAAAATCATGACAGATGTGTGTGCGTGCATGCCTAAAATCCCAGGAGAAGTGTGGAGAAGGGACTACTGTGTAGCCATCCCCTCTGGGTGTGATTGCTCACTTTTCCTCTCCCTGTCTCTATCTCTGTCTCTCTCCTCTCTGGTGATTGCATATACCCTATGACAAAAACTTTAAAAAGATTGTTTAAAATTACCTCCCGGTAACTTGTGTAAAGTGTGTAAGAAACCATTTATAAATGAGTTTCATGTAGAGACTTGAGAACTATCACTAACATACCTCATTATAAAAAGCATTTTGGATGAGGAATACTCAGACTGGACTTCATTTTCAATGCCATTAAAACCTATGAATTAGATCCTACGTATGGTCAGTAGCTAGCATGAGGAGCTGACCTCTCATCTTGTAACAACTTCCCCTAGCCCATAGATTCTTTTAGAGAGGTTTTAGTTATTCAATGACATTAAAACCTATGAATTAGATCCTACGTATGGTCAGTAGCTAGCATGAGGAGCTGACCTCTCATCTTGTAACAACTTCCCCTAGCCCATAGATTCTTTTAGAGAGGTTTTAGTTATAGGGCACATGCGCTCGCCAGACAGACGGAGAGAGACAGAGAGACAGAAAGCGAGAAATCACCCCCCAGGGGGGATGGTCACACTACAATCCCTTCTCTTCCATTCTCCTCTCGGGATCTTGGGCACGTACGCACACGTGCCCAACGTGAGTTTTAAGCCACTGGGTCCGGGATGCAAACCGCGGTCGACTACATGGGACTCCAGCAACATAGCCATTATGCTAACTGCTGGTCCCGAGCCCATAGATTTTTTTTTTATTAATTACTTTATTTTAATTTATTATTATTTTCCAGTTTGATCAGAGAGAGACAGAGAGAGAGAGAGGAAGTGAGAAAGCAAGCCACCAGGTCCGGGACTTAAACCGTGGTCGTCCATGTGGGAGTCCAGTGCCTTTAACCACCATGCCACTGGCCAGCCCCCTGAGCCCATAGATTTTTAACCTAACCTTTCTGTGGTATGGACGGACCATCCTTCTAGCATTTTGTTGAAGCTTACAGACCTTTTCTGAGCCTTTGTAAGGCTAAGATACGTAGCCTTACAAAGGGAACAATTTATATTACAACACAATTTTTAACATGTTTTTAAAAATGTGATATAATATAAATCTATTTTTTAAATAATTATTTCACTTAATTTTATTATTTATTTATTTTTAAGAGAGATTTTTGCTATAGGGTGTGTGTGCTTGCCATAGAAACAGAGACAGAAAGCAAGAAATCACCCCCCAGGAGGGATGGCCATGCCACAATCCCTTCTCCATTCTCCTCTTAGGATCTTGGGCATGCACAAGTACCCTGCATGAGTTTTAAGCCACCAGGTCTGGGACTCAAACCATGGTCAAATACATGGGAGTCCAGCAACATAACCATTACACCATCTGCTGGTCCCTATTATTTTTTAATTTGACCAGAGAGAGAGAAAGTGAGAAAGCAAGCCATCAGGTCCAGGACTCAAATCATAGTTAGCCATGTGGGAGTCCAGCACCTTAACCACACTACCTGCCAGCCCCAATAATATATATCTATTAATATATGAAATAATCCAATCTAGTGGCAAATTGAATAACTTGTAATATCTTATTTATATACTCACCAAAGTAGAGATAAGAATATAAACAGGTCAAGAGATGCCCAACAAATGTAACGTGATTTAAGTTCACATATACTCCCTGGATTCTAATCATGGAACTTAGGTTAAGCACTTACTTAAGCCATGCTGGCAGGTGGCATGATGGTTAAGGTGCTAGATCCTACATGGCTGACTGCACAATAAGGGTCCTAAACCTGGTGGCTTGAAAAACATGCCAGGCATGTGTGTGTATGCCCAAAATCCTGAAAGGACAATGGAGAAGAATGGACTGCAGTATAGTCATCCTCCCTAGAGAGTGATTTCTCACTCTCCCCCCTTTTCTCTCTCTCTCTGGTAAATGCATGCACTCTATGGCAAAAGTCTAAAAAATAACTTATAAAAAAATAATTAAGAAGAACTTATTTAAGTCAGTTTAGTTTTTCTCACTTATAGGTTAAGTCAAGACTTAGGATTCATTTTAATAACAGGAAAGCTTGGGTTGGCAGGTGGCATGGTGGTTAAGGGTGCTGGACTCCCACATGGCCAACCATGGTTCGAGTCCCAGACCCAGAAGCTTGCTTTCTCACTTTACTTCTCTCTCTCTCTTTCTCACTTTGGTCAAATTAAAAAGTTAAATTTTAAAAAATAATAATTCCTAAGAAAAAAAAAGGGAAAAGTCTGAAGAGAAAGGTTTCAATGACAATTTGCCCCAGAACAAAGAGTACTTCTTGTTGGAAACCTTATGTTTGTTCTTTAACCTACTTTGCTTTGCATTTATAGTTTCTGATAGCAATTGTTCTTTTTTTCTTTTTTTGTAAAACCAGGCAAATTTAATGTTTTCATACAATTTAATAAATAATCTTTTGATGACTGCAGACATATAAGACTGGCTATATTCAGAAACATCAGTCATGATGGTTTTCCAGATGGTGTATCATCTTCAAAAATTACAAAGAGTTACTTGCATGCAACTACTATCAAACCAGTAAGACAGCATTTATGCATCCAACATTTTCAGGATTATTGGTAACTAAGGCATATTTCCCCCAAATAACCTTGCCTCTTTGTGTCACAAGGCCCAACACACTCACGTTCACATCAATGACAGCATCTTTGGTGATAACAACCAAAGTTGTATATAGTGGGGATGAGGGATTCTTTTTTTTTTTGGAAAGGTTTTTGTTATAGGGCGCATGCGCTCGCTGGAAAGACAGAGAGAGAATGACACAGAAAGTGAGGGACCAATAGTTAGCGTAATGGCTATGTTGCTGGACTCCCATGTAGTCAACTGCGATTCGAGTCCTGGACCCAGTGGCTTAAAACTCACGCTGAGCGCATATGTGTGCATGCCCAAGATCCCGAGAGGAGAAGGGATTGCGGTGTGGCCATTCCCCTGGGGGATGATTTCTCACTTTCTGTCTCTTTCTGGCAAGCACACGCACCCTATAGCAAAAATCTATCAAAAAAAAAAATCTTAGAGAATCAGAAATATTGGAATAGGTGAATCACTTGCCAACAAATCACCTGTCCCCTAACCATAGCCCCAAGAAGATCCAAAGGCCTCTCTTTTAGTGACTTATGCAGAACCAGAGGCTAACAATTTTGCTGCAGTGGTTGACTCTGGGAGTCCAGTGACGTAAACATTACGCCATCTGCTGGTCCTGGGATGAGAGATTCTTCTTTATACCAAGTATTTATACCAAGTATTGGCAGGCAAAAGGTGGCTTTCAGTTCAGGATGTGTTACATGGGCCTTCTTGAAACATAAGCCCACTGGCCTTTCATATTTAGGTGGTTTTCTAGTAAAGCCATCTCCAACAAAGCAGACTTTTGTAACCATCCTCTTCCATGCCTTCTTTCTCCTGTTCGAATAACTTTTAATACTTTTGTTTCTCCCTGGGCTCAAACTTTGGGTAGAGGGACTTCCTATTTTCCCACTTCCTCTTTCCATTTTGGTTTGATCATATTGGAAAGTACTTTAGCTCAGAACTGTCCTGCTCTGTCTAAGAGTTAGGCAGGTACCGCTCCTTGTGGAGTCTTTTCATCATTCTTTTGTTTGGTGTTCCTCTTTTCATGAACCTTGATAGTCTTTTTCATTTGTATTTTTTCTGCATGGCGCTGTTTATGATAGAGCTTAGCCTTCAGATCAGTCATTTTATTTTTGCCTTTTATGAACATTCACAAGTCTCTCGACTTTTCTTCTTTCTCTTTATCTTACAGTAATCCTAATGGTAACCACAGTATTTATGATTTAATTCAATATATTCGTTTTGTGGCACAGTTATGGCTACAGAGTTGCTGGGAGCAGCCTCCCGGAAGCAAAGAAGTTGTCAACTTTCAGGTCTCAAGAGACCCACGAGCAGATCCAATGCAGTCTGGAATGGGAAAGCCCTGAGAGCACTTGTTATGAACGTGGTTTGAGGGGACTAGCAGTTGGCGTAATGGCTATGTCGCTGGACTCCCATGTGGTCGACCATGGTTTGAGTCCTGGACAGTGGCTTAAACTCACATCGGGTGCATGTATGTGCATGCCCAAGATCCCAAGAGGAGAATGGAGAAGGTATCTGCGGTGTGGCCATCCCCCCGGGGAGTGATTTTTCGCTTTCTGTCTCTCTGTCTGTCTCTGTCTTTCTGGCGAGCACACGCACCCTATAGCAAAAACCTCTTAAAAGATAAAAAAAAAAAGGGAACCAGCAGTTAGCGTAATGGCTATGTCACTGGACTCCCACGTAGTCGACTGTGGTTCATGTCCTGGACCCGGTGGCTTAAACTCACGCCGGGCGCGTGTGCATGCGTGCCCAAGATCCCGAGAGGAGAATGGAGGAGAAGGGACTGCAGCGTGACCATCCCCCCTGGGGGGTGATTTCTCACTTTCTGTCTCTCTGTCTCTCTCTGTCTGTCTGGCGAGCGCACGCGCCCTATAGCGAAAAAACCTCT